TGCTGCAAAAAATTTTAATATTCCAATAGGCAGCTTGAATGTTCTGCATAATTATTTTGATAGTTCAACAAAATTATTTTCAGCTCTATATTTAATTAAATATTTAGCTATTACAGCAAAACCTTTTTTTCCGTGTTACAGTGTAATCGAATTTTTTATTTGAAAATATTTAAATACTGTTTTTTAACGATAACGTATATCTTTGCAGAAATTTTATTATTTTACTGGATTTATTGTGTATTTATCAAAAAGGCAGACACCTTATATTATTATGCATTCTGGATATTTATTTGATGTGATAGCGAATGCGGTTGAATTGTAAATAGCACATTTAAATACATTTTTGTGTAGAATAATGAGAAGGATAGAATAATGCAACCGAATCATCCTCGATGCGAAGTGACAATGGGAGAGCATGGAAATATAATCTAACGGACGCAAAAATTCAAGCTGAGTTTGATAAGATGAATGAATGTCGATTGTAGAAATGCGAGGTAAAAATAAAAAGATTTGTAGCAACGTTGCAACTGCTATTGCATTTTTGCGATAGAGCGACGGCGCGGCACTAATCCTTTTTGGCTGAAAGCCCGTCACAAGAAAAGTACCGAACACAGACTGGTACTTTTCGGTACACGCACAAATCTGCATGCCATCCTGCTACCTGAAAATTATACGGCTCGCTCATTCTCTTTCTTTTTCATTCTCTCTCGCAATTAACTTCTCGCGAACTTTTTGACCACTATTATTCTCGATTCACGTATAGCAGGTACATCACAAGTTGTCGAAAACGTCGGTCGTTTTCATTTTGCGCGAGTCATTGATGTGAGTAATTTTCGATGTGAGTAATTTTCGATGTTTGCAAACTCCCGAGAGCTATTGAGAGTGCGAGTTAAATTCCCGCATAATGAGAGCAATTTTCGATATGCGGTTATCGGGGCAACTATGCCGATGGAAATATGCTGCGAGCAATTTTGTTGACCAAAAAATTATTAGAGAAAGAGTGATGTGGGCTCTCATTATTTTTTGGATACCATTTTATTTTTCGTTTATTCAAATCTAATGAATATAGCAAACAATTATTTATTATAATCTAAGTTTAATATAAAACACACTTGAAATGATTAAGACTGTTCACAAAATGGGAAAAATTATTTAGATGAAGAGACATTATGATTAATTATCTGAATGTGATGGTGAAGTGGTCTATTATTATATTTTTACATATCTGGTTTCTTCGGGTTTATTTGGACTTCCCATAAATTTCATAGAAAATTTTGAAATATTATCATAAGTTTCTTTTCATGAATATGTTCTTTTAACAATATTTTTAATCCCCTGTCCTCGCAAATGTTTATCATAAGCGTTTCTTTTCCGCTTCGTAGAGACTTCTTAAAATTATTTTAAAATGATAACTACAAAGATTTTTTTAACGAAAAACAATGCTATGTAATATTTTTTGTTAAAAATTTAGAGGAGCTCACATTATTCCTAATTAGGAAGTCCAATAGAGAAGTATTACCAAAATTTACATTTAATTATGTCCCAGCGAAAATACAATTAGTTAAGCTTATCTTCTCAAAATAGAAAAATAACATTTTAATAATTAATTAAGGGTACTAATTATACTTACAAACTCTAAACCACGTTACATTAAAAATTATATACGAAAAAATTCTGATATACCTCATAATATATGAATATCAATTATCAAAGATCATGCTAATTATGGTGGTAATTATTTTACAATTTTGATATCCATCTCAAAACAAATTAAAAACTTTTTGCAAGAGATGGTTAATTAATTATGTAACAGAATTTTAGGTGAGATCCATATTAGCAACAAAGGCCTATCTCACCACATTGTCTTCTAAAATTCCATAGTAATACCGCGATATTATTATAATACCAAATTACAACTATATACAATATACCGTTATGCAATATTAAATTGAATTATTAGTGTTACTCATGATAATTAGAGATGGCTATGCACACAGATTTAAAAAAACTGTAGCGACTAAAATTGACCGATAAGATTGTCGTACATATATTTGCGGATGACGATATAATATTTTAATGCAATAAATTTTTAAACTAATAAATTACTAGTGTAGATTACGATCGTGTTATCATGTGCGCACGATCAGAAACACCGCGTTCGATCGTCAGCGTCTCGAATCTCCGCGAGCATTTCCAGAAACAGGCATACGTGACTTCCGGCGTAACGCGTTTGTTCTACCGGCTGTAAATTTCTCGCTCGGGAATTCTCACTTCTTGCGGCGCTTCTTGCGAGGGGAAGCACCATGTGCTAAGTTCCGCTCTGCGCGTCTGAGCGTGGATCGTCCTATGACGTCATGCGGCCGGAAGGAAGAACAGGAATTCTATCTTGAATTAGCGATCACCGGACGTTTCCTCGTTTCTAGTTTTTTTTTTAGTTATGTATGCAAATGTGTTCAGAGATTACTGTGATTATTTAATCAACACATCGGAATTTCTGTTCATAATAATTTTCCCGGGACAGGAAAGAGTTATTCAATTCGTTACGCAATTTATATTAACTGAATTCCGGAGTGTTATTGGCTTATTAACATATCGGATTTGTGTTAAACTGTAGTAGCAGTACAATTGTCATTAATTTACACGATAATTCTCTCGTTCTATTTAAATATGTGTTAATTAACAGTCAAATTATATGTAGTAATTACGCTATGGGTCTCTAGGCAAGATTTTTAACTTTAATATCGTATATTTTTTACATTAATAAAACTAATCGAGTCTAATGATATTGAGAAATGCGAATTTGCAATTTTTATACAATTTTATTAGAGGAATACTCTCTTTTTACATTGTGAGATTTTCGATATTATCACAGAAACATAATTGATGCGTTGGGGATTATCAAACAGCCGAAGTGGGCGGAAGGCTTGCGATGAAGGAATAATTGTGTGAGAACTTCGTGTAGCAATCTTCCAATAAAAGATAATAAATTGCATCTCTTGTAGGTGAGCGTAAATTGAAATATTTATCTCGTGAGAGAACAACGCTGGCGGAGCAGCTGCACCATATTTAGATTGAAATTCAAAGCGGCTTGTAGGTCAAAAGATCACATCCACGTCTTATTTTTTTCTTATAATAACAGGGTAACCTCTCGAAAGAGGTGAACGGGTCAGAGTACGCGAGAGATTTCTTCGTGATTTTCGCAAACCCTAAGGGAAGGGCTCGCCAAGCCTTTAAGCCGAAAGTCTCGAGTTTACGTAAAGCTTCTGAGAATTGACAATGCTCGAGAGGAGTTTTCGGGGACTCTCGTAGGTCTGCCCAGTATTTTTCTGTCGAGGTTGGATTTCTACCCGACTGCCCGAGAACAGAAGTCGTGCTTTATAATTCATAAAAGTTAAAGGTTAACGGTTGGTCAATCTCATCAGATGTATAACAGAGCTCTGACATTTAAATTATCAAAAATTCAAAACTTTTTCTGGATCGAATGACATTGAGAAGTGCTGTCCTGAAGTTATTTTCAGCACTTTTTCACTAGAGTAGTTCAGCTGAATATTTTCCATGGTAACATGTAGATGCGAATTTATGAATATAATTATGATGTGAGGAATTTTGTTCTCTCAACATTTCTCGTAATTTTGTCCTCAGATTACTAAACCTGCTATTCACGTAAATTTAATTATCTTATGAGAACCTATGCGAAAGAAGTGAAGATCTCTTGAAAAGTTTGAAGGGTCGACAGAACGGATATTGGAAGACCAGAGGCGAACGGTTGGAAATTGTAAGAAAATGCATCGAAAGCGAAAAGAGTTTACCACCGTGCGAAATCATGTCAAAAGGAGGAAAATTAAACTGCCATCCAACTTGAGAAGTGTTTAGATGTTGAGTCAAATCAAATAAGAACAAAAAAAAATAAATTTTTACTCATAAAATATGCATTCGAGAGGTATTTATTTCACATGTATTCTTATTTCTCACACGAAATAATATATATACATTTTTTTCAATTTTTTTTGCATGAAATATTATATCAAAAGTTGTTGTTAAACGATTTGATAACGTGCAATTTAGTCTGATAAAATGCGAAAACTTTGATGCTTGAATATTAAATATTTTTGAAACACAATGAAATACGGGTAGATACAATAAAGACGATACTTTCATGGCGGAACTTTTCACATCAGCAAACAGCACGAAAGCGGTATCGGACGTACCATTCTAGGGAGAGTTGGTTATGTATATTACAGGCAACATAAATTAAAGTTCTTAGGCATCGCTAGTAATTACTGTTTTGTTTGAGTTTCAGTATTTTCCGAGTTGCGTTTATCTGAGGCTTTCCTTTACAAACTTCACATTTCTTTATTGTTTTTTAATTTATATTTTTTAATAGAAACATATATTACAAAATTCTTTACATTTTATACTTTACACATTTTTAAGATGTTTATTAGCATCGTGATGATCGATCTAATTTGAGATATTAATATTTTAGCTTTAGTTTATGATTGCGACAAACTAAATTGACGCAGTTTATAAAGCTGAAAAATGTATTTGCAAAATTTTGTATATGAATATTATTAAGATTTGTTTCGATTGAAAAAATAGATTTATTTTTTTATTTTGATTTATTCTTGATTTATCTAATTTCTACTTATAATTGAATATATATTATCGAAACTTAAGGAATTATGAAACAATTTAAGAAATTATAAAAACAAAAATCACTAGATTTTAACATGATATATACCTAATCGATGATTGCATAATGATTATTGAACATTATTTGTATGGATTATGTAATAATCTTTATATATAATTTATCATATTTACATTAATATGGTTATTCAAATGGACTTGCTAGTTATCGATCAGCACATCAATCAGACGATGATCAATAAGCATATAAGCGCGATAATTGATGTAAATTATTTTATCAATATTTAGGATTTAAAATTATTGATTATAATTAATTATTATACATTAAAATTTCGCACAAGATATCTTACCTTGTGGACTTTCATCTTTCCTGCTGCGACGAGACTTCTTCTTTTCTTCAATGTAATTCGAAGACGAAGAGTCATCGAAGTCCAGAAACTCGTGATTTTCATTCGCTGGCTTCTTCATCTCATCTTGCCTCCTTTTCAGCAGTTCGTAAACTCTCTTGAAATAATCCTTGGTGATATCTTCATTCGATTTATTTATTAGCGAAGTCTTGCCGTTCAAATAGCCGAAATCGCTGTCGGAACCGTCGATGTCGTTTATCTTCGAATCAGAGTCGTTTGTACGTTCTTCTAGATCCTCACTTCCGTCGACGATCTTGAAGGTGTCGCTCTTCTTCACGTTCGAGCGTGTGTATAACTCTCGATAGTCCTTGAAAGCGTTCTTCGAAGGGATCGAATTGTATCCGAAATCCGGGGAATTGACATTTAACGCAGACACGCTGCTAATATCATTCCCGCGATTTTTCACTTGAATTTTAGCGATGATCGGCGATTGGCGCTCGTTCGTTTTCTTTTGCCCGACGAGCAAGTAATTTTCCTGCAAACTTGTGCCGGGTCTACTGCCGTTCGTCGATGAAGCATCGCCATCGGAAATTTTCGCCACAGCTCCTTTTTTTGTCAACAATTCTTCGTTTTCCTGACGAATCTTTTCACTTCGATCGTAAAATGGGTTCACGCAGTTTCTCAAGTTTTGGCAGACCTTGCAAGCGCGCGAGGAGCAGAGATCGCGTTGCAGGTCCTTCCATCTCGGTTTGCTCATGAAGTCCTCTTCAGGCACTTCTCTTTCCGATTCGCGGCGAAGTCTCTCGTTCCTTTTCCGCTCTTTGTATTCCCGCCAGGACTTTTCCACATTTTCGTGGCTCTTTATATGTCTGAGGGGATTTGCGAGGTCCTTAGCGCTGTCTGCATTGGCCGCCATTGCCGTCATTTGTCCGAGCAAAACGTCGCTCTTGGTTTTTCGGTAGACTTTCCTTCTGTCCAGACTCGACGACTCTCTCTTTAGCTGCAATTTCAATCGATTTTCCGGCTCTAAAGCTTGGACTAAAGCGTCGCTCTTCGAGCGCCGATAGTTACGTGACTGTCTTTGAAGCTGAGAGTCCTCGGAGGATTTTCTACAATTCATTGGCTTCTCCTTCTCCGTTTGTCTGTTGGACTTTAGTTTTTCTCTCTCGATCACCTCGGGATTGAATCGCAAAATACTCGTCTCACTGCGCACTTTTCGCGTCCTGTAGCTCTTTTGATTTTCCTCGTGACTATAGTCCGAGTATCTTTTCCTGATTCCGCCTTTTTCGATTGGTTCGGAAACGCCAGCGTGCACGGCCAATCTTGAACACGTCTGTTCCATATTCATCCGCCGCTGTATCTTTTCGCGTAGGAACGCTCTGATTCTCACCAGCTCCTCCTCATTCATGTTATCCTTTATTTTGCGAATGATTCTATCGTCTTCATTCGGCTTAGAACTCTCCTTCGTCAAATTCTCATTTGGAATTAAGGCGTTTCGAGTTCGCAAATACGACTTCACTTTCTTATTTTCTCCATACGAATCCTTACCTTCGGAATTGACCGTATTGTTCCTCTTCAAATTATGATTTCCGAGATTCTTCTCGTTTTGTTCGACAGTGTCCTTGGTTTCATTTCCACTGTATTCTTCCTCGCGAACTAAACTCAGCAGAGACTCGCTCTGACTTCTTAGGTACGCCTTGACCTTTCTGCATCTGTCCTTGGCAATCTCATCCGGAGTTCTCCCGACCGTATTACGTGTACGCAAATCGTTCACGATTTGCTGTCGGAGATAATCCCCGGCGGAGTACCTCTTGAATCCCGCTGCTTCTTCGATGTCTCTTTCGAGCTTTGCTTTCATCGTTGGATCTTCCACGGCGGACGAGTGTCTTCTTTTACCTCTTCCTTCTTCTTTATCTCTATTTTCTACCTTCTTTTTACTTTTTTGCCCTTCTTTAATATTAACGTCGCTTCGGGATTTCCGCGGTGCAAAGTTGCATGTACCAAATTTGCTGCTAAAGCCGTCAATATTGCGGTTATTCTGAAATGGCGTCACGACAAACGAGGCGGAAGATGTCGACGGAGAGGACGTTCGTTCCTTGCTCCTCGAGCTGCTTCGAGACTCATCGACGGGGTATTGTTTATGAGTCTTTAGGCCCTCCTTGAAGGAACCTTTCGCCCGTTGCGCCGTTCGGCCGGTGGTCTCCACTAGCAATCGGCCATCCTTGTCCAACAGCTGGATGACGGGCAACGCGTCGGCGGATGTCGTGAGTTCCCACTCCCAGTGCAGCGGTTTCTGCAGCTTTAACCGAATGATCGGCTCCGCCGGTTCGCCAAGCCCCGCGGAATCTGGACCGACCGGACTGGAAGTCGTCGCGCGGACGATCGGATGGGCGTTCTTCATGGTCCCGGTTCTTCTCTCTGGTTCGCTCGTTCTCGCTCGAATAATCTGCCGGAAAAACGGCTTGCTCGCCCGGTCGCTGATCGTCCCGATTAATTTCTCGTCCCAAACGGGTTCGCCGTCGCTGGACTTCTTAACGGGTCCTGTCTTGCCTCGATGAGTTTTATGGGATTCGAGAAAGATCGTCGACTGTTGAATCGTTTCGCCGAAACGCGCGTCCGTCTGACGGATTTTAGCTTCTTAGAATGAAGAAGCGGTTTATATAATAATGATAATAATTTTACTGAAGTGCAAATGATATAAAATATTTTATATTATTATGTATAATAAAAATTATATTTTACACTCTGAGAAGTAATCTTGTACACTGTTTAATAACATTAAGAAATGAATAAAAAAAGTTTAATAGTAACACTCTAATCGCGAAAATGATATCGTAGGTACACTTCACACGATGTTCACGCTCAGACAATTTCCGATTTCTGCGTGTCGCGTGATTTAAAGTTGCTGTCGTTCGGCCGTCGTTCGCTTAGCGATAAACTCCGGGTTAAAACTGCAGTCCCGTTTTCCGTGTGACCGCGAACAGTAGCCGCATACAGTATAGTATGCACTGTGGCATTCGCTGCGCGATCACATGATCGACGACGATCGCGAGACCGGCGGGTTGCCGGTCGTTCGCTTTCGCGGGCGCGTAGTCCAAGTTCGCGCGCGTTTCATGGCGTTATGTAACGCGACCTCGCGGACTTGGCAGCCTGTCAAATTCGCGACGGCGGGGACTCGAGTCAACTTTCTTTCTTCGCAGTTTGTCGAGGTGATGGCAGAGAAAGAAGGAGGGAGACATATACACACGTACACACAGTTTCGCGTCACGTCTCACGTTGCGAGTGGATTCGTGGAAGATCCATCGTTCGCGCGTTCTTGCATACCGCTCGTAATTTGCAGAAGCAGACGAGTCGGTGCACTTACGAAATGATACCACACGTGCGGGCGTTTATATGCATCTGTACTGCAGCGGATAGCATTAAATATCTATGTGCATACGTCTTGGCGATGTATATGTAAATATAAGCGAGATGCGTAATTCTTGATCAAATCTCAACGAAATTTTGTTGTCGATAATTTTAACTTTTTTTTTTTTTTTCAGTAATAATATACGTGCGAAAGAGGTGAAACGTACTTATTTCAAGCGTTTTATGTCAATCAAAAAGATCAAACGCCAGTTAACCGACAGCGCACGTCGCGAATTGCCGTGAAAATCATAGATTCAATTTTCCGACGCTCCTGAAAACACATGCACACATTCGAGGAAAATTGAGCATAAAAGGATTCGAGAGCAGAAAATATTTTTAATCGAGCGCGTTTAATTGCACGTGAGAACTTTTTTGTAGCTCGTTCGCCGAGTTGGTTTGTTCGTTCGGAAATCGCCCGATCAATCACTGACTTCACGGTCGTCGCTTCTGCCCGCGTTCGGCGTTTTACGATCGGTCGATCGGGAATATCGATTAATCGTCGCGTGGACTCGAGCGGCAGACAGCCGCGGACCTCACTGAGGAATCGACAGTGTGAGAAGCAGATCCGGGGCTGCGCGGCGCGGCACTACTGTAAACGCGCTCGGTGGCGTCATACCGATCCGAAAATAAAGCCCGCGGGATCTATCGGGTAGGGTGCAGGAATTCCGGCACGTGGGACGTGTCACGAATATCAGTGGAAACTCGCTTGTGTTGTTTCTCATCGCTTGCGCACAGGTGCGTGCACGAGCATTTAGGATGCGTGGGCGAATCAGACGAACCGAATCGTATTTCGTTCATTTCGTTTCGCATTAGGACTAGTGAACTAACGTAGATTTTGTTCGGTATATAAAGGGATTAAAATTATTCAGAAGAAACCATATATATAATGAGAAATGTGACTTTGCAAAGGATCTCTTAAACGGTATTATTTAAAGGAATTGTAAAGCTTTCTTGCGTGTGCGCGGATTCAGACATTGTTAACTCTTGCAGATAATTATATAAATTTAATATCTTGTGTACATATTACTACGTATCATTATTCATTATTATTCTTCACTATATTATTCTGAAGATAAAGTAAATGTCTTTATGTTACTAAGCACTATTTAGAATATATATTATAAAAAAATGTTTATTTTTGCTAGACGGAAATAAGTTAAATAATTTATAAGTGATTTTATGAATTAGTGAGATAATGTTGTAAAAATACGTTCTGCTGGAACGTGTATATAAAAATGTAAGATTAATTTTAAATTAAAAAATAGAAACTATATTTATGCAAGCAGTTTAAATTCTATTCTTAATAATATTGCGATAACTAATGATGAGTTGTAAATAAATGAGTTTTTGTGGTGCAAATTAAGAAACCTTATTTTTACATAACTTCGAATTAACTTTGATTAAAGTCCGAGAATTTATAAGAATTTAGATAAAAGAAATGGTTATTATTTCGAGACACCCTGTATACATATTTGCTGCCAAACGCAAGTCAATCAAGACGGTGATGTCGGCCAACAACTGCGATCGAAGATGGATGCACCTCAAGGATGGATCAATGCCCCGCGAGAAATTTGTTTACGATCGATCGTGGGCAGGGTCGACGAACATAAATGCATATACACCTATCGCAAGTGTGTACAGGATTAAACTGTCCTAGCTATGTCAGTTTTGTACACTCTTCATGTCTCTTTTTTTTTTACACACATCAAAATCAGTGACAGCAGCTATCATAAAATTGGACGTCGTAGCAGAAATCACTCTGAATAAAAGTTTCGTGTTCTCTCGTAAGTCAAAAATATTTAAACTTTTTTAAAATTTACATTGTGCAGCGCGACGCAATTCTGGTAAGCAGGGTTCGCTCCAGTCAAAGTTTCGGATTAGCATAATATTTCCAGATCCGCATAATACTTTTTAGGAATGCGTACTTTCCGCGATTCGCGAGTTGCATTTCATATTTTACATGCGACGACGAAGAATATTTAACAGAGGAATGCACATCCCTCCAGGTGCGCGTACCGCGTGTTTCTTCGTGAAGTGAATCGCGATCGAGCGAGGAATATATTTCAGCGACGGAGAAACGCGCATCGCGCAATGTCAAGTGTCATGAATAAAAAATTGACTGGTATCCTTTTACGATCGTGCATGCCCGACGCCGATTCGCGATGCCGCGACCGCATCAAACTGGTTCACGCGTTGCTCGGTTACTCGTAACAGGCTCTTTATTTTTACTCAACGCGCCCTCGATATCGTAGAGAGTTCTCGCGTCGCGCTAAATTCGGATAAGGAAACATGCCATGTACATTCTTTCGGAATCTGTGTGCTCGTTGATCGACACGCCGAACCAAATTCGTCTCGTGCAATTGCGATTCGGATCACGAATCGGATATCCTTATCTTGCATGGTTTGAGCATGGTGTAGAAATCGATGACTGACATTAATAGAGATAGAGTAGAAATTGCGCGATGTCTTTCTATATTTGCACTGAAGTAAAGTTCATTGCGTGTCATTAACCGATTAGCCGCGGGCCGCCGTTAAGCGGCGCGCTTATATAACTTGAGAGGGATGAGTCAAGAGGATATATAATTGCCAGAAAATGTCACCTTAGTCATCTCCAGAGATTATTTTTACCCGTATTGCATCGAGGCATACATTTCTGAGCAAAATGCAGATTTTAGCAGGAAAGAACATAATCTTTATGCTATATCAAAATTACGACGTAATATAAATGCATATTTTATTAGATACGAATGGATTAATTCGAAATATATACTTTTAATAATAAAGTTGTTTTCAATAATAATAAACACAAAATATAAAGTTTATAAATATTATGTCTTGAAAAAATAACAAGAGCTGGAGTAAATTTTTTTTTATGTCATAAGCAACGATGAGTTTATGATAGGACCAGCGAATGACAGAAAAATTTTTATACAGCATAAAAAATAATAATTTATTTTAGCATTCAGCGGAAATATAAATGTACTGGAAAATATAAACAGTACTGGAAATTACATCTATTTGAACGAATATAAACGAGAGTTGCGTAGTTCGACAACAAATTGCATTACCACGCATAGCCAAGTATAGAAATTGGCATACGTGGTTTTTTTTTATCATTTATGTATAAATCTCTCCTAAATATATTATAAAATACTATTAATGTCCTTTCTCTACCTAAAAACGCATCCAGGGAAAAGAACGATGAAATTGTTTATAGATTACTCCTTTGCATGATCGTTTTTATTCTTTCTATACGTTACTTCTAACAATTACCCTAATTCTTTTTATTAGATATCGAATGTACAGGATATTCTCTGCACGTGACGTCTTAATTGTCACGATTTGCTAATAAAGAAATTTATTGTAAATATTGGATTCACTTATTAGAAATAATTTAAAGCGCAGCCTCCTCTTTAGGATGCTATCAATGTAAACTAAAATAATCAACTTCGGTCGTTATATTAAAATTAATTGTTATTGTATATCACTGTCTGATGTACTTATACGAAAGCGTCGTTAAAAAGGAACCGCCGTTCTAAAATGTATTGCTTTCTCCGAAACAGAAAATGCATTTTTTTCAGAATGCATGGTACACGGAATCTGCACTTGAATAAATTTATCTATACGTCAATTAACGTTATAAAATGTACGTATATTCAACGGAGAGATTGCTCACATAGCATTTTACAGAATCATCACTGTAATAATACTTACATTTATTACATGTAGTTATATATGATAATAATACGCATAGCAAGTATATGTATATGCATATAATAATACTAAATAGTACAATAAGCATTTTCAGTATGGCTAACTGAGATACGTCACTTTTAATTCGCACAATGCAGATGCACTCGCCCGTATAATAAATCATAATACTTACAATAAGTCAACAGAACTACAATTATATAATTATAGGCGCGTTACGTCTCGTTTATTGCGAAATTGCACGGTTTTTTTTAAAGGAAATCGCTATATCACGGTTACAGCATCATCGTAAAAAGTACTTTCGTGACGCTCTGAATCCTTATTGTATATAGCTGGTCAGATAAGAACTTGCTGATGAAAAGAGATTTTACATAATTGTAATAAGTAGTTTATATTATAATATTGTTATATCAAATTTATTAAAAACCAAATTCAAAAGAGAATCACTTTTATTACAATGAGATAAAATAATATTCATTATTGCAGGGAACATTTAATATTGCGAATTTTTACATTATAAATTAATCATATTATTTCTTGGTTTATGATGACTATTT